GGGGGGGTGGCAGGCAGAGTGGCATGGCTGCTCTGCTGCACAATGTTTGCAATGTTCTTGCCACACTCTTTCCAGCCAGAGCCTCCCAGGTTGCTAAGAATCAGGCAGAGTGATGTGTAAGTGCCATACACATCTCCCTGCCCAGTTCTTAGCAACATAGGATGCTCTGGCTGGCGTCCCGCCCAGCTACTGGTAACCAGTAACGTCACCCAGGAGCTGGGCAGCACGCTGGCCAGAGCGGTGGTGTCACTCCTACACGCCTGGACGGCAGCATCACTCTCCACTAGCAACCCACCCGGCCTCCCTCAAGCGGCAAAAAGGATTGGGATGTCAATACAGAAATGTTTTTTAAAGCTGCAAAGGTGATTCTATGTTTTTTGGTAAGTAGAATTCCTTTAGAAAAACGTGAAAGAAAAAAATGTGTTCTTTAACTTTTAATGTAAAAAAACAGTGTTTTCTGTACAGCTTGGAATTATCTGTGTATACTGGGCAGACATATTTACACATTACATATGCAGGCTCTTCTTTCTACACTGTGATTGTGTCTTGCTGGTCCTCTTACGTCACTCCGTCAGGCTCTATCTTAAAAAGGATAGATTCTCAGCAGTCTCTAATGATTTTAAATATATGCACAATGCTCTTTGTAACCAGAGGCCATGTGTTCTTTTGCCTTGGTCTTAGTTCATACAAGGGAGCTCAGGGGCATTATATTTTGTAATGGAAGAATAGTTTTGTTTTTACTCAAAATAACGTGACTAGGTATTGCTGATATGGGACCTATTGAATCTAGTGAAGCATGAAATGTAATGACAGGTCCACTTTATTATCTTTTGTGGTTGTTGGCTTCTTTAAGTCCTGTGTTATTGAACAATTTAAAGATAACTATAGCCAAACCTTTTTCTGTCTTTAGTTCTCCTTTAGGTCACAGGAGTACATTTACTAATGCAGTCCTGTGACCCAAAGTCAGCATATAGCGGACTACTGCCCTATATATACTGACAGGGCAGAGCCGCACTGCATCCAGGAAGGATCCTGACAGTATTGCCGGGATCCACCCCACTGCCTGATTGACAGCTGGCTCTGCCTCTCTAAAGCCTGTGCCCGCCCCCTCATCTGTCTGTCCATCCAATGAGTGCTGAAGGAACAGAGAGGGGAGGGGGAAATCCCTACGGGGAATGGTGAATGACAGTCGCCTCTCTCTTCAGGCAGAAGCCATAAGCTAAGCGATCAACGGTATATGATCACTCGGCTCTCGAGCTATAGTGCGAACGCCCAACCGCTGCAGTATCCTACGTCTGTCTGTCCATTTAGTGAGTGCTGGAGGAACAGAGAGAGGGGGGGGGGGGAATCCCTGCGGGGATCGCAGTGAATGACAGTCAACACTCTTTGCAGGGAGAAGCCATAAGCTGAGCGATCAGCGGTATGCGGTCACTCAGCTCTCGAGCTATAGAGCCGATGCGCGACAGCTGCAGTATCCCATGCCAGCTCAAACTATTGGGAAGAGTACATTTTATGTTCCCAATACTTCTCCTTTAATATCTACTTTATCCCTATACAGTAATTGAAACTTGGCACTTAACAAGGGTACTGGCAATACATTTACGGTATGTGTATTAAGTCTTTATGGTTTATTGTTCCCCTACAGCTAGTGAATAACCTCAAACAGAAGGTTCTGAAGCTGGAAAAGCAGTGTAAGGAGAAGGAAAGTGCTCTCAGGTATTTAAAAAGATTTCCTATAGATGTTGAATCAGATAATATCAATACTGTGGTTAGTTTACATGAAGGGAACCCGTCAAGAACACAAAACCTGATGAGCCTCAGATGAGAGGTTCTGCGTTTGCATTCTAGTCCCGGGGGCATTTACATCACTCGGAGTGATCCTGAATGTGTTCAGCTTTCGTGCCCTGGAACTAGTGGGGCCCAAGAGTCAGGCGGGCTTCTTTTTTTTTAATAGATATCATGGCACCTTTCCTTTAATATATATTGAAAATCCAAATTATTTTTTCTTTAGATTTGTATAAATTGGGAAGGATTAAAACCCCCATCAGGTTGCTTTTTCCATTCATTTCCTGTCCTGGAGACACGCACAGGAAATGAGAGGACATCTCTTGAAAATGAGCAGAATTCTTCACTGTATGTCATTTTATTCTGTGATGTTTCTTGTTTCAATCGGCACTCTGAACTAAAATAGAAAAGTGACAGTTGCAATGTGATTGGTCGCTGTGAGCAACAACCCTCTTCACTGCATAGATTAGCCCAATGGAGAGAGAAATCCAGAGAATAGCGGATTAATCTTGTTTGATTCTGCAAAATATTTGCGTGCAGATCTAACTGATCTGCAGAGGATAACACAATTCAGAAATCCAGACAATCCTGATCTATTACCTGTATGATTCTCTGCAGATTGCACAAAGCAGAATCGCGACCTTTACATTTAATCAATTCTCCTGGTTTTTAATGTTGGCCATTTAAATGTGGGAGGGACTGTGGTCTGTTTAACAGAGAATGATAGGGTTGTATTTACAAGCAGTTTGACCCTTTGAATATCTGTGAATGTTCGCTCTGTGTAAATATATGCCCAGACTAACGTTCTTTAGTTATTTTCTTTACAAGTGCAATACATTTGTGTGTGTTAATTTAATATTGCACTACGGCCACTAGATGGCGCTAGTATCTATTTTCTGCGCTTTTACATGATAAAAACATTTGAAAATACATTGCCTTGTAAAGAAAAGACACAGAAAAGAATGTTCGCTTTGGCATAGATCCGCACAGAATGCACATTCACAGATATTCGCAGGGCAAAGGACCCTGCCGATAGTTTATCAATGGACCCCCATAGTGTTTTTTTAGTATATTTATGAGTTTTTAAACCGATGTTTCATCTTCACACATGTACATTTCCTACATGACAAAGAAGCATTATGTTTTTTTGGTTTTTTTTTTCAAAAAGTGAGAGCACAGCACAAGTTTCTCTCTTTGAGGCACGCTGTCTCTCATTAAAACGCAAGATGAAGCCTGTCCTGCGCTTGTGTGCGGCTTAATTAACCTGTGTTCTTTTTGTTTATAGCAAACTGCAGACAGAGCTTAAAACAACTAGTGTGGAAGAGATGAGAATAGCTATGGAGACCTACTATGAAGAGGTAGGTTTGGAAAGCACAGTGCTTTACAGAGAAGAAAACGTTCACCTCAATCACTACTCCTGAGCAGCTTATGGCCCAATGGCCCAGCGCAGTCACACATCCAGCTGTCTGAGAAACAAATATTCCACTCTTTGATACTGTGACCGTTCTCAGACTCATCAGTTGTATATAGTGTAATATTTGGATGGCGGTATTGTGGCATAGTAGTTAGCAGTGGTGCCTTTCTTGGGGAAAGTATGCACTTAGGCCTTGTTCACACCAAGCGCGGAGCAGGTGCAGAGCAGAGCAGTTGCAGACCGGATCAAAACTGCGTCCAATGTATTCCAATGGTATTTTGTGCTCCAGTTCACATCGCAGCGTGCAGGTCCAGAGCAGGTGAGAAAACTGCAGCAGGCCCTATTTTACCTGCTCAGGATCTGCAAACGCATCAAAAACGCATGCAAATGCCTGGAACGCACTGAAAGCCCATGTTAAACAAAAACAAAAACAAAATTTTTTTAAGCCAAAAACGCATCTAAAAGACTAGCGTGCGTGTGCAGAAACCTGATCGGATCTGCTCTGCATTTGGTGTGAACAAGGCCTTAGAGTATTGGGCCCATTACATCTGCCTAGCGGCATGTTACCACACGCACTTTAATGTCAGGTGCAAGTCCAGTCTTCATTCCATTGCTGTGCATTATTTCTTACCCAAACCACAATCCAGCTGGCTGCTAGACCGGTCCCTTCAGCCTCTCTCTTCCTCTGCTCCAGCGATGGTATGTCCCTCAGCTTTCTCACATCTTATACACTGTAAAGGATGTGATGACTCGCAGGAGCTTAGATCACCAGAGCGCAGGGGGAGCGAGGCTGGAGGGGCCTGCCTAGGAGTCGGCCAGAATCGTGGTTCGGGCGAGTATCTCTGTTATTTTACCAAAACGACCACTTAACTCGCCACTTAACGTAGGTAGCCTAACTGTAAGGGTTAAGATTTTATTTGCTCAGAGTTCTTCTTTAAGGTGGATCTGCAGCTCCTGTGTTGGCTGTAGTTACAAGTAGAGATGCACTGAAATTTTGCCCGCCAAAACACATTGACCGAAAATGGCAAAATGACGAAAGTGCCATCTTTCGGCCGAAATTACGGTGCATCCCTGCTTACTCTCCTCCCCGCTGGGCACTGCACTGTGTCCAGCAGGGAGGAGAGAAACTGTCACAGGAGGCGGAGTAGGGGAGGAGAGCGCTATGAACACCCTCCGTGTCACAGGAACGCCAGGCCAGGCTCTCCTCCCACACATCCCCACCCAGCCTCTTGTGACAAATCAGTATAGAGAGCAGTGTGGGGGCGGAGACAGCCGTGCGCTGTTACAGGAGCCCGAGCTGGCGGTGAGGAGGAGGAGTCAGCTGTCAAAATAGACCTATCTCTCCTCCCCACACTGCCAGCTCAGCCTCCTGTGACAGCGAGTCAGGATGGAGAGCGGGTACAAGCAATCAGTGATCACTGACTGTTAGTAACTCATACTATGTCCAGTTATTTACAATGCACCAGTTATGAATGAATAGGAAGTGGTCTACATGATTGTGGTTACAGTAAACAGACCATGTTCTCATGTTATGAATGAACAGGAACACTCAGTATAGAGGATTCATGTTCATTGATAACAGGGGCTGCAGAAAAAGAGATTGATGACTCCATGTTCTCCATCTCTTTATAAATAAAAATAAAATATATATATATATTTTTTTTAAAAGATTAGAAAAAAAATATTTTCGGTTTTGGCCTGACATTTTTTTTATTTTTTTTCGGTTTATAAATGTTTATTCCTGTGCACCACTAGTTACAAAGCAATACATTAACTTTGTACATGCTGAACATTTTGTTCTCTCTTATAGATTCAGCGGCTACAGCTACTGTTGGCTAAAGCTGAGACACAAGAAAAAAAGTAAGTCAAGTATTGCTCAATGACGATACTGTGTGCTATCTAGCTGTACTTTTTTTTTTCCCCACACTTCCTCTTCTGCGTTAAAAACTGAACACTCTCAAATCCCTGCAAACATGCATCTCCACTGTATAACCCTTTGAAGCTGCAGCAGCTAAAGTCAATCAGCAGACTGAACAGCCAAAGTCTGCAGCACCCAGTGGCCAGCGGGCAGAAGCAGGCACTTTTGAAGGGATCCCGGGGATGTGTTCTTTCTTATAATGAATGTAGAATCCTTTATTTACAGGAGCCTCCTGCCCCCTTCCCCCAAATTCGAAGCAAACAGCAGCAGGCAGACCCAGTGATTATATCGCTGGGTTTAAAAACTGGTATTTCTTGATTGCATGTTGATTAGAGGGGAGGAAGGAGCAAGGAAGGTATTATATGTGTGCACTACACTTCAGCTGTAATGTATGTGTTTTAAAGGAAAGCAATGTAAGTACCTGAATTTGGCTTGGTATCCATGTAAAGCAGAGCTCAGACTGGTGGCGGAAAAATATGCGCAGATGTTCATCCGTGAGGAGAGGGATAAGTCAGGAGGCATCACCCCTATTAGGGCTTGTACACACTAATGCTTTGCGTTAATCGCATGGCTCTGTGTGATTAACGCACGCTGCCAATCGTGAGATGCCATTCATTTGAATGGTACTGCAAATGCACCTCCTGCCCGCAGTGCGTTTTCTGCCCACACATAGATGCGAGTCAAATGCACACAAAAAAAAGCAACAAACGCTACACGCAGTAACGCAAGGCGTAAGTGTAAACAGGGCCTTAGACTGAGGTGCCTTGAGATTTTGCATGGATTAAAGTGTGCCATGACTTAAAAAAAAAAAAAAAAAGTGTTGAGAAACGCTGCTCTAAAGCTATGCTTGAATGATGAACGGAAATATGGAGCAGGTGGGCTGTGCTCCCTGCATGCATATCAAGGTTTAGTTTTCATATTTGACTAACATGTACATTGGGTATTGGATCCGGTGCCGCTGTCAGTATACAAATGACAAAGGTAGCAGATTCCTCCATCCACACTGTTAGCGTGGATGGAAAAATTCCATCAGATTTGTTTTCATTTCGCTTTATAGGCTGAAAAAAAAAAAATCTATCTCTATGTACGGGCAACTACTCCATCTACCGATCTGTAGCAAGTCATACAACTTTAGATATCATCTGTCTAGTTCAATGGCATTTATTATTCAAGACTCTGACTATACTGATTTATGACAGAACTCCTGCAGAGAGTAGAGAGTCCGAGAAGAGACAGAAAGCCATGAATATGGCTCTACTCAAACTGTCCAAACAGGTGAAGGAACTGCAGGAGGAGAACAAGAGTCTGAAGGCGGACCTGGACAGGGCCATGGCCCAGTCACCTACCTCAACCAGAACGAAAGGTGAGTGCAGTATTGTTCATGGTGATTGG